TTCGTCCGCCCACGCATCCCCCTACGCCCCTGAAGTGGATGAAGACCTCCCTTCTGACCAAGCAGGACGAACGATAGAACAATAGATAGGTAGATAGATAAAGAGATAGATGTATATAGGTCAATTCAATCTACGAATATATTTAGTGAATTTAGTGGAAGTGTTTGCCAAATGTCAGGCTTTGAGAGGTTGCTTGGATAGATAAGCCATTTCTTCCACGGTTCAAGTGTCAAACTTTGGAGTTTCTCAGGTTAAGCAACTCTCTCCAAGTTCTGGTTTATATAGAAGTCAAACTCTGAAGTGTCCCGTCTCTCGATACTTGGTTTGCTGGGTATCATTGATACTTGGATACTGGTATCGGGGTATCACTGATACTTGTTTCTGGGTGTCGTCGATACTTGGACTTTTGTTTCATTGATACTAGGTTGTGGGTATCGTTGATACTTGGATACTGGTATCTGGGTATAGTTGATACTAGGCTCTGGGTATCGTTGATACTTGGATATTGGTATCTGGGTATGATTGATACTAGGTTGTGGGCATCGTTGATAGTGAGATACTGGTATCTGGGTATCATTGATACTAGGGTTGGGTATCTGCGGTTATGCATGCAATGTGTGAAAATTGCTCTTGGATGACTCACCCACAAAACATCTCAAGCGCCACAGTTCTTTTCACTGGCGAAGCTCACATGTAACGCAGTCTGCGGGCTCCTCACGAAGAAGCTTCAACTTCATTTCGGTCTCCTCGTCACTCTGCAGGAGATACCCCATGGGTCTAGGTGATGTTGCGAGCGAAGGCACCGAGGGTGGAAGCAATGTCATCACAGGCATCTCTATTACTAAATTTGTCTCCGCGGCTTTTGGTTGTGAGTTGCAGGTACACCACAACAGCACTGCCTGTTCGGCGCCTGGATGTCTCATTCACCTTTTCCAGCACATACTCCGCTTGTTCTGGGTAGTATCGCGGCAGACTTACTACTTGCAATGCTTTGGGCAGCGCTTCTTTGAGCTTCAAGTCCTCACCAGGACGGCTTGACATCTTGAGCGGCAGCACCCTTTTGCCATTCTTCACATGCTCACACATGAGATTGTTCAGCGTGGTTGATTTCCCAATGCCTTGGGAGCCACTGACCACCAAGAAATGAAGGTGTGCTCAAAGCTTTACGTTGAGGTGAGTTGATGAAGTCCTTGATGTATTCCTCCTCGAGCGGCCGTGCAGGGGCGGGCTCTGTCCTTTCCAGCCTTTGCCCAGCCTTCCTCACTGCCCTGTTCATGAAAAGCCAGGAAGGAACCTTTGAATGAGAGCTTGGAGAACCAGCACTACGACGCTCCCTGTGCTCAACAAAGTCCAACCAGTTTTAACGGTCTGCGCCGGAAAAGCCCTTGCAGGCTGTGTTCGTGCATGACCGCTTGGAAGGACAAACCGGCCTGGCGCAAGCTGAACCTGCCTCACAAAGATGCATCTACGGAATGTCAAAGAATAATTCGACATCTTTGAAGAACAGCTTGGTAGAATTTGAACCTGAAACTACACATAGAAACTCTGACCACCTCAACAATTATCCCCTTCATTCAATCCAAACAATGAAGTGAAAATTAAGACCCTAAACCACCCCCTAACAACTCCCCAGAACACATCAAAACCAACGAACACGAAACAAAACACAACAGCAACAACAAATCCTAACCTCATCCAAAACCAAAAGCCCCATGCAAAGTTAGAACCAAAAAAAAAAAGAACCCCCCACACATAAAACATCAACAGCAAGGAAAACACATTGAACATCAACAACAAATCATAACAAGCAACACACCAACAAATCCTCCCCAGAACCCCCCTTTTATCAGTTTTTACGCGCGCGTGCGTGCGCGGCTTGGGCGAGGCGAGGTGATTCTGGGGCTCCGGCGCTCCAATCCTTGGAAGGCACCGGTGGAAACGGGAGTACCAAGTCGTGCGGCATGACACAAGGAGAAGAGGAGAACACACGACTTTTTGAAACAGGACACAGAAAGATTTGCAAAGACATCAAAGGTTTGATGGATGACCTCTTGTGCCTGCGACCTCTTCAGCCTCTTCGTGCCTTCGACATCAAAATCATCGGTCAGTCGATCCAACTGCTCATCCAGTTTGATCGTCGTCAGCTTCATCCAGTTTGAGTCCCAAGCGAATCATGCAGAAGGTTCGCCCTGCGCGTGAGTCGCATGGGCAACGAACGGTCAGCGCCAGCCACGGTACCAGGATTCGTTTCGGTACGGCGGGAGGTGGGAACAAGCTGTAGAGAAACAAGAAGCATTTCTCCAGCTGGGAACAATCATATCGGCTGATGAACAGGCTAGCAACAACACCCAGAATGGTGAAATTGCTCTGGTGATGGCATACCTGACCTACCTAGTGTGAGACTTGGTAGGCCCAAAGTTGTAGATTCCGGCAGCAGGAGCCATGCTCATGGGCTCCATGAATGAGCATCGAAACGGTACAAAGAACGCCTAGTTCTGGTGCCCAGCTTTGACAAACCTTTTGAGCTTCATGGGGCTCCTCTGGGGCTCCATTTTGTTACGAAGCCGCCCCGGACTGAACGTCTTAACTCGAACGCTTTTTATCTTTGACACTGTGGTCGAGTTGAAATCTTGTTCAAACATCCTCACAACTCAAAATCCATAAGGCCTTGTCACCCTGTTGACGGCCTGGCTTACCAGGATGGATCTTCGTCTTCTGTCAGTACTGAAAAAGGACCGACACAACGAGAATGAAGGGCAAACAGTCGTTTCTCAACTCAACCAACCCCTCCTTCCCACTGAGAAAGCTCTTCGCTCCACCTGCTCACCTTCTGCTCACCTTCCGCTGTCCCACTATCTTTACTGGACATGCTCTCCAGGGCCGCCTGTCTCTGCCTTGCATCATCTTCAAGCGCAGCTTAGCCGCATCCACTGAGATGAGCGCCGGGTGCAAGGCATCCTTGGTCTGGGTGCAGCTGAGATCGACTGAGTCACGTGAATCCCTGAGATCAGTAGGCAATTGTCTTGCTGATTTCTTGTGATATGGTTTCAAGTTCAACATGTTTCAACAAAGACTTTCTACAAAAGACGAACCTACCCAAACAGCACCAGACTCTAACTGATTGTTCCCACATAAACTGTTTAAATAATCTCTCAAACTGGAAGACAGGACGAGCCCTGGCTGCTGGTAGTGGAGCACGAAAGACCGCTTGAATAGCTACAGCATGCTAGAGCTCAAACTTCATGGGGTTTCAAACAAATATACTATTCCATGTCTTGGGCCTTTGCCCCTTTGGCTTCCACAGCCAAATAAGCAAAATCAGACTGGGGTGCCAAACCGTACCGAGCCGTGCCAGTGATCTGTAGGGATCAATGCCTGGATGAGCCGTTCATCCCGTCTTCTTGAAACGAAACGGAGAGTCAAACTAGCCCACGTTCTGCTATGGGATAGAACGTTCTACTTCCAGAAACTGAAAGATCCAAGAAAAATGTACAACAAAGTATAGGAAGCCAGCCCAAGGGATTATATATGGCATCAACAGAAATGCTCATACATCAACTGCTTGCTTCTTCTACAAAACAAATGCCACTCGGGCAACGGCGCCACTCCCACTCATGGCGTGAATCCTCCGGCGGCTTCCTCAATCGAGTGGGCATGATGGGCTGCGAATGGACAACAAGAGGCCTTTAAGGCGAACCCCAGCGAATGGCTCTTCTATCACCAAGTACCGCGTTGGTAAAATGAACGCCTGCCAGGCTTTATGAGAATTACAAGCTAACACTATCCTTCACTTGTGTGAAAGTCTCGAAACATCCAGTGGTAGTGATGTGATCCCGGAAAAAACAAAAAAAACATGGATTTGTCATGGCCAACGGATGCAATGGATGCCCATGGAATGGAAGCCGTAGGCACGACAAGAGCTTCAAACACTTGGCCTGGAGAGCCCACCCCCACCCGCACCATCCCACCACCCGCACCATCCCCGCGGCCAATTTGGCCGCGTGGCACCGTATGCTGCGGCCGAGGCGCAAGATGATGTGGCCATCGGAGATGGACTTGAGCTCCTCGATCTCCCAATTGGGCACTCCGGGAATCTCCGGGTTCGGGATCAAGGCCGACTCGTCGGGCTCCAACCTGGCGAGGTGAGGATTCATGGGGATTTAAAGGTGGGTTCCCCCTTGAACGGAGAGTCAAAAGGCGCACGGGTTGGATGGTCTGGGGGCTTGAAGAATTGACCGGTGGCATCTTCATTTAGGGCAGGTACTCTTGTGCACTATCAGATAAATCGTCAGCTTACGAACACTGTCTGAGTCGCACTGTATCGTTTGGGAAACCATTCCGTAGCACGGAATCAACCTGCTCAATCACCTGTCACCATCCCGTCTCAATCGCTGGGCTTTGTGGAGCTCAGTTCTCAATCAAGGAACTCAAGATTGATACCATCTGCAGCAGCGTCGGCCTTGCAGTGCTTTCGCAGCAAGGAAGGATTGGGCGTTCATGCTTTCGATCCGGACATGTTCCCATCCAGATCCATCCAGTGGTGTTCGTTTCTTGTTCTTCAGTTTAACCAAGTGAGTTGTTCAAGGCCGTCTCAGTGATCAAGACAAGGTGCAATCATATCACCAGGGGGACAACACCGTATGGAGCAGCTCAACTGTACAATTAGCAGGGGGACACACAGGGACACACCTCAAATATTCTAACTCATATGGCACTTCATATGGCATCATACCATGGTTGCGGGACACATCTCAAATATTCTCAAACAAACACTTCGTTGACTCAATGGGCCTTGACCTTTGCCACCAACTTCTCTCCTCGCTTGCGCAGAACTGGCACCACGGGGTGTCCATGTGGGAGAACCCATCTTATCGGTTTCAATCATGAGAAGAGAAGGCGCAGGAACTTGAATCAAGCTTTCAATTTGTACGTCTCCAAATTGGTTCAATGAGTCCCATTGGCGATCATCATTTTGGTCTGCTTTCCCATCCAATTAGTTGTTATTGCTTCAGCGCTGCCAAGAAACTGATCTCATCCGAAATGCGGGTGATCTCTGCAATCTGCTCCAGCTTCATCTCGTACATCTGGCCGAGCCCCAAACGGCCGAGACTTGGACGTCGACCGAGACGCTTCTCCGGTCGCGCCGTCGATCACGGCCGCGCCCAGGCACCGGGCCTTCTGCTGGCGGTACTGCAGGCTGCCATCTTGTTCCCAAAGCCATCCCAACAAGGTGGCCGAACCTTTGCCAGCCTGCATTCGAAATGCATAACTCCCAATCGCAAGCTTTCGCCCAAATTATTTCAGATGTCAGATGACCCCAGAAACTTAGACTTTTTGAAGAACCAGCGTCTTCTTGATGCCTCTCTTCAACATCCCCCGCAGAACGGAGGGTTCCGTCGACACAAAAGACCCGGGCCAACGCCCCGCCGCTCCCCGTCCCTCTTCGGCGCCTCGTTGATCGCACGATTCGTCATGCGGAACCAGAACTTCCGCCGCTCGGCGATCGACTCACGGATGACCTCGGGTGCACCGCGGCACCCGGTTCGGCACCCGCTCCGCGGAAGAGGATGGAACATGAGTCCAGCGAGGGATTGACATGCTTTATAGAATGGTCCAAGCAGGATCTCGTGCAGAAACCGATTCTTTTGCAAGAACTTGTTAACCGTTTCACTGGCAAATGCTTGACAAAGATAGTGAGAAGGATGACTAGGGAGTGAACTGTGCCCTGCATCTGTACCCACTGTTCCTCCTGATACTGAAACTGCTGTCGGCGGGCCATTGTTAGCGGAAACCTATTTAAGCTAAGATAGGCGGTGTTCTCAACCTATCTTGTTGTCATAGGTTTATACATATATATATATATATATATACTCAGCCTTTCCAACAAGCCTATTGTCATTGTTGTTTCTCAATCGTGCTTCCAGGTTTGGCACCTTTTTTTGAGGTGTCCCTCTGCACGAACCAGCACGATGCGTGACTGTCCTTGGGATCCACGATCAAACCACGAGCTGATCGTTCCTGCACCAAGATCCAGTGCAAGCACTCCAATGCTTGGAAACAGCTCAACCACATCCGTCCACCATGTAATGCCTCTGATCTACCCCACCCCCATCAACTTGGCACCAGTGTCAGTCCAGTGTCAATGTTGCATGAGCACAAAGCTAAGTTCCACATTGTTCTCTTATGACACGCTGCAAAAATGCGGTGTAGGGCGGTGCTTCATGAAGGCAGCGTAAGCAACAGGAGGCAATCCTATTTCTGGAATTATCATCACTGCTTCTAGGAGCTACAAGTAAACAGGATCATCAAGAGGGCAGTATCGTCGTCCGGCCTTAGGATGGAACGTATCGCTCTGGTGTGTTCTTTGAGATCTTTGAGTCCATGGGACATTGTCAAGTGATCGGTTAGAGCGATCGGCATTGGGACATATTGTCCGAGGCGCTGCAGCAGCGGTCTCCTTTCTTGCACCTTAAAAATGATTATAAAAAAAAGGACCATCGTAAAGGGACTTAATCATTTGAGATCGAAGCACCATAGCCTTCGTCTTTGAGAAGTCAAATCACCCCAGATTGCCCCGAGCTATTTCCAAGCACCAACCAACCTGATCTCTTTCCCCATGGCATTTCTGAGACCAACTCACCAGCCCTGCTGGAACCAATCGTGATCCAGCCCTGCCTGGCCGGCCATTTCAGCCAAAATGTTCCACACCTCAGCAGGCTGAACGTCCCCCGCAGCACGTCCCACGTCTGGAGATTCTCGGTAAATCACAATCGACTCTCCCAAGTCCATAACGTTGACAGCTCAATGTTTGAAAGAACACACAAAGGAAAAGAAAAAAACAATATATAAGGGCCTCTTTAGTAAGGTCCCCTTGAGAATTCATGTTGTTTTGTCCTATATTTACACAACTGCTGTACGCTCCAACCCTTTCCAGCTGCACTCCTCCTTCTCCCTCTCCTCCCGAGTCTCCCGGCATCGTGCATCGCTTCGAAGTCGCAGAGCATCACACCTTCCCCGCCCTCCTCACCGAAGTACTCCGCCAGCGTCATGGCAGCGTTGCAGGCGATCATCCTACGCGTTGCAGGCGCACCGGTGTTCGTCTCGTCCGTCTCGGTCCTTGAGGGTTTCGGTTGTTTTCTTTTCAACGAGTCGACCACGGAGTGTGTTTTTGCTTTCATCCCTGCAAATGTGCATATTTAAAGAACAATAACATTGAATAGCCATCAACAAATACCGTCACATACCCAAAAAATATCAAAAAAGAACATGTCTTATGGGCTGGGCAAACGCCCAAAATTCAATCCAACTGTTCTGCCACGAATCAGAGGCATCCCAGCCTGGAGGCTGGGTCGTCGGAAATGGGCCTTGGAGCTCAAATGACTGGAGCGAACCACGCGCAGGGTTAGGCCTGCCCAAAAAAAAGGATAGAAGTGATAGAAGGAAACGCTTTCCAGTCCAGGTTCCCAAGAGAGGGGAGGCAACGCTCACGCTGAAATGGGGAAGAAACCACGGTGTCTTGTATAGCTCTCGGGCCAAATGGGTCAGTTTCTACCTGGACTAGTTGGCTTTGGGACAGAGAAGATCCTACCTCCATGTCTCGGATCTCTTCTTCGTCCACCGGGGAGCGCAGCGTCCACACATGCCCACATCTCGTTCAGGATGGTGACAGGACGCATGTTCGCTTCATTCATTTCATTCATGTTCATTGTGACCCCATGCATATTCATTCCATGCGCCCACGGTTCTCCCGAGGTCACAGACACATAGATGGTGCAGTTCTCCCAACAGTCCCGGGCCTGGTGCTCATGGGGAGAAGCAGTTGACAAGTCGCGTTCTCTTTTTTTCGGTGAAACGACCAGTGACCAGTCTGGAAAGTACCAGACATCTGGGAAAATTATGCTCGCTTCATGGTACTGGTGAAGAGAGAGGGAACGAAAAGACAGACTCAGAAGTTACTGTAGTTCTGGCCAGCTTTGTCCCTCAATCAGGGATGAACGAGCCACTTCGCCCACTACCATCGGTTCGGCTGCCGTTGCTCCCCCCCTATTGTGATACTTAGTGAGCACACTCCCAGCCCATCAGGAACAAAAACAATTGGACCCAACCGTGCTGGTCCCTACTTCTTATTCCTAAGTCAGACTGGAGCAATAGATGGTTGGGGAACATGTTTTTCTTTTACTATTACAGTAAAACTAGTACAACACCCTTAGTTACACTATGTTACTATGTTGCACCATGTTACACTAGTCACTAGTCACCAGTCAAACCTCCAGACCTCCAGAAACTCTTGATCCAGACCTCCATCCGTATCATCCCTTCTCCGCACCAAAAGACCCGTTCCTCTGGGCGCACCACCGGCGCGACTCGCTCCCGCCTGCAGGTCGCTCTTCATCGCTTCGGCCTCGTCCAAGGTCCGGCAGACCACCACCTGCGCGGACCCGCGCGCGGTGTCGGTGCGCTGACCCGGGCGGAGAAAGGCGAAGGCTTGGGAATTGGGAAGTGAACCATGGGGTGTGGCAGCTATGGTAGACCGGACGGAAGACATAACATATGAAGAAATGAGGATGCCTTGTCTTCCAAAACAAAATGGGTTCGAGATCTTGCAGCTGATAGGTGTGAGATATGTACTCTTCTCGAATGGTTCATCCTTCATGCAGGGGGCCTTGGGGGTTGATCTGTAAAACTGGTAAGCAGTCAGTACTTACAGTAGTTCATGGTCCCCAAATAACGCGAACAGTCAGTTTCAAACTACTCGATCATGAGGTCACCTCTCTGAGAAGGGCTGGGTGCTTTCACTTCGGAGGCGGACCGCATCGGATCTTGCAGCACACATGAGTCGCTAACAGGTCCATGTGGACAAATGAATCGGATCTTGCAAGAGGTTTGTCAAATCGATGTCACGTCAAAGGAAGCATCAGTTCACTGCGGCAGCTGAGATGCCTCCAAATCTGAAAAGCCACTGGTGCATTTCACTAGCACATGTCGAACCTTAAGCTTCTCCCTTCTCCCCACCTAACATGATACAGTATGATATCATATGACATACAGTAACTAAAAAATTCAGTGAAACAACCCCCCCGGTGGTTCACGCCGGGTCTCCCCTCCGGATGCCGGATGCCACGGATGCCACGGTCTCCCCGGGTCTCCGCTCGTTCACAAAGAGATCCTTCTGCGTGCCCATGATGGGTCGAGAGGCCAGCAGGTCTGGCCTTGGGACTCGGTCGGCGTCCGACAGGTACCATTCTCGTCCTCACATGTCCTGATCATAGCATGGAAAGGATGGAAAGGATGGATCTTCAACCCATATGATTCTAACGATACGACTCATCACTGGGTGATGTCCCACCCTCCGGACCACGGGTCCGAAGAGACCCCCGTGGCTCTTAGAGCCGAACCACAGGTACTTCCGGTCCTTCTCTGGATCGGAGCCTTGAAAGAGCATGGTCTGTCCACGGCCTGGCCAGAGTCTATTGCTGGTAGGTCACATGGAGAGTACAACTTGGTTCATATCGATTCTAGCCGGACTTGTCTGCCTGCAAGTCTTTTTGAGGTCGTGTCGGAACTATATACTGTAAATGTTCTTCTTTATGCAACTTAACGCACTCCTTTTTGGTACTCCGTTGGTGATAGTTCTACCATGTTCTGCCCCTCGACATGACTCTCTTCTCATCTCCCACTCAGGCAGCTGCCAATGGGAACATCGAAGTCAATCCCTTGCCTCGATCCGGTGATCTTCGAGGCCAATCGCCACATCGGACTCTTCACCGCTGAGGCTCCAGCACACCGGTGAAGAGTGCTCGGTACTGCGCGGAGCGCACCTGCGCCGTACCGAGAGTCGACGAGACGTCGAGTTTCCTTTCCTTTCGAGAGAGAGTCATCACTGGTAGAATTCATATGAATTCATCACCTGGACGGTGGTTTTGGCAGTGGCAATTATTTCTTCATCACTGGTCGAGAGAGAGTCATGGTGTGGAGAGAATGATGTGCTTTTGTCATGCATGGTCATGCGTTTGGAAGAGCTAAAGAGACTTGACTAGACCACTGACATCCACTGACCAAACTAGCAAGCCCAGAAAGCCCCAAGCCCCTGCAGCGCACTCTCTTTTCGGTCTGTCGAGCAGGTTTGGATACATCACCGTGCAGTCGGGCTCAAGTTCATCTCACAGTCCGAGCACAGGATGAGAGGGAAAGGATTAGATACCTTCGCAACAGCTGACATCATCTGACATCGTGAGAAGCGTCGTATCAAAGGCAGGTCTGACAGTTTTCTTGCACATCAATGCAGGTCACGTCTATCTCAAAGGCCCCGACACATCCAACGCAGGAAGGGTGCGCAGGAATCATTGTGCGGGCCTTGGCAAAGACATGTTGACAGAAACAATAAGTGCTTCAAGTTTCAAGGCCCTCAAGGTCCACAGGAAACAATCAAGATAAACACTTCCTTAATGGCGATGGCCCCCAACCTGCTAGCCATGGCCTCTAACCTAGTAGCGACGGCCTCCAACTCTAGCGATGGCCTCCAACCTAGTATTCATGGCCTCCAACCTACTAGCGATGGCCACCCAACCTATTGGCGATGGCCTCCAACCTAATAGTGATGGCCTCCAACTTAGTAGCGATGCCCTCCAACCTACTAGCGATGCTCTCCAACCTCTGAGCTAGCTATAGCTAGCTCCAAGGATTCCCAAAGGGTTTTTCAAACGGACTCCTACAAATCTGCAACTGTTGCGCTCATCCGGAGCTTCGCCAACGACTTTGAGACCCCCGACCACAGACCAAATGCTTGTGGATGTGCAAGGAAACATCAGAAAAATCCACCAAACTTGTTCACCAAAGTCAAGAGTTCGAGCGTCGTACACGTCCCCCAACCACCGGCAGTACAAACAGAGAGAGAGAGAGAGTCGTTCGGCCCCCAGGCTTATTCAGGTGTTCTGAGATGGCCCTCCAACCTCAGCGAACAACACAACTCCTGCGGAGCTTCTCTTCCAGAAGCACTGTTGAATGTATGGACTTTCATCTTTGGAAACAGTGCAGCCGCAACGTTTTCCAAGACGTTATCCACTCCTGCACCAGACACTGTTCCGGACCTGCCGGCTGTTTCAGACAGGTGCTTTCATGTGACTCAGTGCACGACCAACAGTAAACAGAGCGCCCTGGACCCCGTTGGTCAAAATCCGTGTCTTCAGTCCACGTCCTGAGGACGCACTGAGCGAAGAACATGCGGAACGTGTGAACGTCGTTCACATCTGCTGGACAACGACTTTCATGGCAATGCTTTGTTTTTGAAGGACGAACAAACATGCCCTGAAAGATCAACATGGAAGCTGAAAGCCACTGGTGTGTGGAGAAAGCCCAAGCCGTCCAAGCCTTTCTGGTTCCAATCTTCCCCAGCGTTGGCATAGACCTCTCTGACCCTATTTGTTCTGCACTGAGCTCCCGTCCGAACAGCCCCGCATAGCCTTCATTGGCAATGATCTGCTTGGCCTCAACGGCACGGTCACACGGTCCGCAGGTCGCGAGGTTCCATGCGTTGAACGACTGCCTTTGGGGTGGAAACGCCCTCCCAACGCCTCCCAAACAATCTCTCAGATGAGCGATTCGTGTCTGTGAAAGGTAGCAACGAAGTTTGAGACATGTTTGCAGGTTGATTATTCCATATATCCGAGTTTGAGTGTGACATGTTTTCCCCTAACATGGAGCAAGAACCAAGACTGGCCATCCTCATGTCTATATTGCTTCTATCCTTCATCATCCACCTCTGAACTTCAGACCTTTTGTGGACATGGGAAAGTATGCTGCATGCCCGAAAACAAGCTCTGGACTCTAGCTCGCCCAAAGAAAGACGTCTCTTTCAAGATCTTTCAAGGCATCCTTTTCACCCCCCACACCCTCTGGTGCGCCCGAAGATGTTCTGCGCACGTTCACTCGCTTCGCTTCCGAACGGATCTCCGGGTCTCTTCGGATCTTCCCTCAACGAACGGCACACCCGGGTCCAACTCGCCGGGGCACGGAGTCCAAGTAGCCAATCTCAGTCGACGCGTTGGACGCGTCGCGTCGTCTCGGGTTCCAAAGGGGGACTGTTCAGCCGAAGGGGGTGCCAGGTTAGGGTGGCCATGGGGGTTGGTGGATTCATTTAAGGAGGCAGTTCGAAGAAGGGTCTTTTGAAGGTGCTGGAACCCAAAGAGACCCAGGTAAATAGTCCACCCCTCATACCCCTTGTTGAAAAACATTCCATCAAAAATAATCCATGAAAAACATATTCCGTGAACTCACGGTTAGACCTGGATGAAACAACTTGCGGCACACCCCATGTTCATGACCCAAAGAACCTTCAGATCGTAGATGCATCGGATCCGGCGGTGCCAGGTGCCCTTTTTCAGCTCGACTGAGCCCAGTACTGGCTCCAAAGAAGTCTGACGCGTGGTCTTCAGCACTCGCAAGGAATTCGAGCCTCGGGGCCGTCAGGGCCGGTGCCACCACGGTGAAGCGACACAAACAGCCTCTCTCACAGCTCTCTTTCTAACAGCTCACGCAGCAGTCCAGCTCAGCAGGCTGCAAGTGTCGGAGACGGCCGCTGAACAGAATCCAATGAAGGCATTTCTCACCTCAGTGGGCAAGAGATCTCACCTGGACACCCTGAAGGGGGCTGTTGTTGTTTGATATAAAACAAACTGTTCATGGGAGCTCTTCAAGGACATGCCACAACCTCTTGCATCAAGAACTGGAGATGTGGCAAAACCATGCAAAATCTGCTTCTCAAACATTATACAGTATACACCCATCTTGTTTTCCAATCTTCAGCTTTGTTTATTCTCTCTCTCTCTCTCGCGTGCGCGTGCTTGAAAAAAGCTCCTCCTTCTTCCCATGCTCTTCCCTCGCGGGCCACCGGACGTACTTGCCATAAGGAAAGTCAAACTGAGGCAGCGATTCACCTGGGAACCATCGAACCGGGGTGACGACGTGGGCGAGGTGACGAAGCTGTGGTGGTGAAGCTCTTTGGATGAGTTCCTGGTGTGTTCCTGGTGTGTTCCATGCCCACGACCATGCCACTACTACAGACTCTTAGTCCGTCACAGCAAAGTACATGTTGCTGCCGGCAACACGAGGATGCCAGATCAAGAGTCAAAAGTGCAAGCTCACCCCCATCCTGAGAGCTCCCACGAAGCTGATTGTTGGTGTAGAACCATGGGTAGTGGCCGACCTGAAGTCACCAGGGCGTGACTTCCTTGGCCATCTCTGGGCCCTCTGAACTGCCAAGACGACCATGGCGCGACCGTCCGGTCGTGGCACAGAGGGACGTCTCCGCTGTTCGGAACGGAGTCGACTTCCAGTCGTGGTGGGATGAGCAATGGAGATCAATCGATCCGTCTTCAAAAGACTGAGCAGGAAGGAACTATATACAGGGTGGTCTTCCCTCCCCCACTACTGCTGCGGACCATGGTGAAGTATGATTTTCCCCATGACATTCCACCAACCCGGCTGCCAAACACCTCAACCCCTCCGTTGTAGTCGACCGAATCCGTCTGGGGCTACCAGACCCAGGTGGCGGACATGGCTCCGACGCCTCCTTGCCACAAGGCGGTGGGATGCCTGGCAGCGCCAGAAGGCGGACGAGGTAAGTGGATGGTTGGGTTGGCTTGCAAGAGGGACCAACATTAGGGCAAAATGATCGAGATGGTGCCATTCTGCCATGAACTGAATGGAAGCTCACATAGGGGTTGTGGTATCAGGACCCCATTGGATGACAGATATGACTGTTTTATTCTTAAGATTCTTTCTGCTTCTTGGAATTGATCTTCAAGTATCTAGAGGATTGGTGTGACCCGGGCCGAAGGCAAGAGATATCATAGAGTTGGCAGGCCTCAGAATACTGAGAAGACACCCTGCAATGGATGAGAACTTCAACCTGGTCGTGCCTTCATGTGCCTTCATGTGGCTCGACTTGGTCTGACAGTCTGACCAAACCACGGTTCACTCGCCCATCGAAAGCGGCTTCCACCGGCTTCGCCAATGCAGATCAGGGTGCTTCTTAGTTTTCTCCACCAGCTTTCTGAGGCCATCCTTTCCTTCCACCTGGACATATGCTTTCCATGCTGTTAAGTCCACTTTCATCACAGGAGGAATCACAACAGCTTGCGGTTTCGTCCTTTTTCTGTTATAGAAGTATGGCCAACTTGATTTCTTGATTTCAGAGGATCGTGCATGGGAACAAACTTCAGATCCGTCAGATCACGGGGTCGTATGATTTGGTCAAACGTCGTCAGCAAGGCTTGGTGTCTTTGTCTGCCTGCTTGGTGGTCTTCCAGGCATCGATTGGCATAAGGAACAGGCGAAAGCCTGTCGCGCTTTCGCCACCAAAACCGCGGTGGCAAAATGGGTCCATACATAGACAGCGGTTGAGTCAGCCTACTCCTACTTGTTTGACCTCTGCTGAAGCTTCAGTCTACAGGTGTTTACAGGAGCAATTGAACATTATATTGTAAGTGTCAACTCAACAGGATCCAATTTAGGCCTGCTGCGGCAGCCGATGCACACATGGTCTTGGCCTGGCCAAAAGAAGCAATGGCAAAAGAACATCTCGAGATGCCGGCTCAAAACCACCGTCTTTGACCACGTGGCTGTCTCAACCCAACGAACCCCTCCACCACCCACCCACCCACCCACCCACCAGTCTTCCACCCACCCTGCGTGTGTGGAGCTCAGACGTGGAACTCCACCTCTTGGGCCCCCAACGGCGGTGGGCAACGTCGTGTGCTCTAGCGCGGCCAATGCTCCATCGTTCGCCGCGGTGTCGCCGAAGCGGGACACCGGAGCCTCCGCGGGACATGGCGGGACAGCAGAAGGAATCCTCAACAGGGAGGGAGGGGTGGGATTACAAGTATGTATCATATGTGTTTTTTTTCCCGAATGCGTAGCGAAGGGTTCCCGTTTATAGTTGGGGGTCTGGGGGTTGGAGCTGTGTTTGCATGGTTTGCGTCGTGTCGTCGTCTCTCGTCGTCTCTCGTCGTTTGTCGTCGTCGTCGCGTCTCAAATTTGCTGCCATTGGGGGAAGCTTTTGCAAGTGACTTTGCATGGATGCGTCATATGTTAGTTTGCCCCGCTATTCCATTGTGATTTGCATGACAATGACATGTCGCGCAAGAAACGTGATGCATTCTGCTGCACAGGCGCAGCGTTTTGTGAGATCCGCAGTTTGCTGCGCAGCTCCATTGGGATTAGCGTTTGGGGAGTCGTGTTTTTGGGGTGTTGGACGTGGCCGTGCCATTGGGATTTGCATTGCAGGGTGTGGCAGCGAAGCTCGGTTTTCGTGACAAGTCTCAGCTGAAATGGCGATTTTGGTGGATGGGAGTGTGCTCAGAACGGGTCGAAATCATTCCAAACGTGTGGTGTGGTGCAAATTTTGTTGAAGCTCACGTGAGATGATATTGTCACTTTTCGTGGCAGGCGCAGGACTTTGTGCGGGTTTTGAGGTGTGGAAGTGCGATTTTCGTAGCAGGGGCAGGGAATCGTGAGGTTGCGAGGTGTGACGGAGGTGACATTTCGTGGCAGGCGCAGTACTTTGCGCGCGTTAAACGTGTGGACGCGGAAAGATTCGTGGCAGGCGCAGGGAATCGTGAGGTTGTGAGTTGTGGTAGAGGTGAATGTCGCGGTCACATTGGGATTGGCGTGTGAGCGTATGTTGTTTGGAGGGGCTGGAATCGCGAAACTGCTTGGCAGGGCTGCGTGATGTGTGTGCTCCGATGGGTGTTTCCTCGTACGAAACGCTCGTTTTGCAGACTTTGATGTGTGAGTTTTTGAGGAAGTCTCGTACGAAACGCTCGTTTTGGAGACTTGACGCGCAACCGTCTGCGGAGATCGTGCGTGTCGAGTGTGCGAAATGCAGGCGAGAGTGCGATTTGTCCCATGCGCGCGCAACCCTCTGCGGAGATCGTGCGTGTCGAGTGCGGGAAATGCAGGCGAGAGCGCGATTTGTCCCATGCGCGCAACCCTCTGCAGAGATCGTGCGTGTCGAGTGCGCGAAATGCAGGCGAGAGTGCGATTTGTCCGGTGCCCGCGCAACCCTCTGCGGAGATCGTGCGTGTCGAGCGCGCGAAATGCAGGCGAGCACTGGCGACTTTGTGGTACAACTTCAGTACGCGGAGTATCTGGGGAGCTGGAAGATGAGAACTGGTGACTTGGTAGTACAACCTTAGTACCCGGAGCAATCTGTGGAGCTGGAAGCTGAGAACTGGCTGACTTTGTAGTACAACTTTAGTACGCGGAGCAAACTGTGGAGCTGGAAGCTGAGGACTGGCGACCTTGTAGTACAACTTTAGTACGCGGAGTATCTGGGGAGCTGGAAGAGTGTCTCACAAGAGTGTCCCACAAGAGTGTCCCGCAACAGTGTCCCACTAGAGTGTCTCACAAGAGTGTCCCTTAAGAGTGTCCTACAGGAGTATCCCACAAGAGTGTCCTACAAGAGTGTCCTACAAGAGTGTCCCACAAGAGTGTCCTACAAGACTGTCCCACAAGAGTGTCCTACAAGAGTGTCCCACAAGAGTGTCCGACAAGAGTGTCCCACAGAGTGTCCCTCTGTCGTACAAGAGTGTCCTACAGGAGTGTCCCACAAGAGTGTCCTACAAGAGTGTCCTACAAGAGTGTCCCACAAGAGTGTCCCACAAGAGTGTCCGACAAGAGTGTCCCACAGAGTGTCCCTCTGTGGTACAAGAGTGTCCCACAAGAGTGTCCTACAAGAGTGACCCACAAGAGTGTCCTACAAGAGTGTCCTACAAGAGTGTCCCACAAGAGTGTCCCACAAGAGTGTCCTATAAGAGTGTCCTACAAGAGTGTCCCGCAAGAGTGTCCTACAAGAGTGTCCCACAAGAGCGTCCTGTAAGAGTGCCGAGAGTGTTCCACAAGAGTGTCCTACAAGAGTGTCCCACAAGAGTGTCCCACAAGAGTGTCCTACAAGAGTGACCCACAAGAGTTTCCTACAAGAGTGTCCCACAAGAGTGTCCTACAAGAGTGTCCTACCAAAGTGTCCCACAAGAGTGTCCTACAAGAGTGCCCCCCAAGAGTGTCCCATAGGAGTGTCCCACAAGAGTGTCCTACAAGAGTGTCCCACAAGAGTTTCCTACAAGAGTGTCCCAAATGACCCACAAGAGTGTCCTACAAGAGTGTCCCACAAGAGTGTCCCAGAAGAGTGACCCACAAGAGTGTCCTATAAGAGTGTCCCACAAGAGTGTCCTACAAGAGCGCCCCCTAAGAGAGACCCACAAGAGTGTCCTACAAGAGTGTCCTACAAGAGTGTCCCAGAAGAGTGTCCCACAAGAGTTTCCTACAAGAGTCACCCACAAGAGTGGCCTACAAGAGTGTCCTACAAGAGTGTCCCACAAGAGTGTCCCACAAGAGTGTCCTATAAGAGTGTCCCACAAGAGAGTCCCAAAACAATGCTCCGCAAGAGCTTCGTACAAGAGTGACCCACAAGAGTGTCCTACAAGAGTGTCCCGCAAGAGTGTCCTACAAGAGTGTCCCACAAGAGTGTCCCACAAGAGTGTCCTGTAAGAGTGTTCCACAAGAGTGTCCTACAAGAGTGACCCACAAGAGTGTCCTGTAAGAGTGTCAACAGTGTTCCACAAGAGTGTCCTACAAGAGTGTCCCACAAGAGTGTCCTACAAGAGTGTCCCACAAGAGTTTCCTACAAGAGTGTCCCGAGTCCCAAATGACCCACAAGAGTGTCCTACAAGAGTGTCTCACAAGAGTGTCCCGGAAGAGTGACCCACAAGAGTGTCCTAAAAGAGTGTCCCACAAGAGTGTCCTACAAGAGTGTCATTTGGACATATGTAGTTTTTCGAACGTGTTTGCATTCGGGTTCGTGGGTTCCATCTTGTTTCTTACAAAGGTATACTTCACCTTACTGGAACACCATCTACAACTCAATCATACTTAATCCCTTGACGAAGATCTCTGAAGATGTACACTTCACCTCCCTCCAGATGAAGCGAGGTACCCGCACATGCCGATGGGGTTGGCTCCTTCCACTCCATCCCAGCCCATCATGGCCTGGATGAGTCCAGGCGCCAAGCCTCGGTAGAAGCGGGGAATGCCGCCTTCGGCATAGAGCTTCGTGACGACCTCCTTGAAGGTTCCACCTCAGGTGCCCAATGGCTTGGCACGATCTGCATTTTCGCTGAAGTGCCGATCACCAGGACTCAGGACCTTCATATCACTTCATATGACCTCCTCACCCTGGTCAAGGGCGTTTTTGACACTCATGAGGTTGACCAGGCATCTCTTTTTGCGGGTTTTTCTGGGGAGGATCTGTTGTGGGGCTGTACCGATTTCATCAAGAGAATCCCAGAACTCCAGCTTTGTTCAGCCCACGGGTGAGCTCAGGAGCTGGCCATAGCGATACTGATAGTTCATGATGGTTCGCATCCACATCAGCGTGAGGACCTCACCAGGCCACGACTCACGACTCCCGCAGCAAAAAAGCGCTTGACGTGCCAGAAACCATGGGCTTCCGGGCATTGATAGCTTGTGCACCCATGCCAGCGATACCACCACTCAAAGCCTGCAAAGTCATGTGTGTGTGGAGCATAGCAGGGGAGAAGACAAACTGGCAGACTCTGACTCTGGGAAGGAAAATTGCAAAGCGTTTCCGGAAAAAAAATAACACTTGTCCTGTGTGTGTGTGTCATGTAGTGCGAGGACAACGCCAAGATGCATCTCCTAGCCTTCTTGGTGGCCTTATCCAGGATTTCGTTCATACTAGGTGCAGGTTTGCTCCTGAGTCGGTGCCCAACACAGGAGAATCCTAATGGCACGAAAACGGTTGAGCTCTGCCAAGGCTCTGTTCAGCCATGTCGGGAAAACTGAAGGGACCTGATTTGAGCGGTGCCGGAAGGCCCTTTCTTCTTCCTTCATGGCTTCTATTTCAGCTGTTTCACAGTGACTGGTTTCTTGTGTTTTCTCCCTCTCAACAAATAAAACAAACCGTTTGTCCTTGTCTTTGCATGTTTTTCCTTCTCTTCTGATCTTGATGGCCCCATATGACCCCTGCGAAAAATCAGACGTCTGAAAAGAGTGCAGACTCACCACAGCCTGCCTGGCTGCAGCAAACAAAAGCACCTAGTGGATCCCTACAAAAGCAGCTATAAGTAGCTGCGGGCCACAGTGAGCCAAAGCGGCGCATGGTCTTTCAAGAGCGGTGCATTCCTGTTCGACGTGGCGCCACGTCGAAGGACTCTCACCTTCAGACACTCGATCAGTCCCCTGATGTTGAGCTTCGCTGGGGCGGAGCTCCGACCAGGTGCTTGTCTTCTTTTTTCCGTGAATTCTGCAAGAAACGAGTGCCAAAGTGGAGCCGATTGACCCTGGTCTGGACTGCCAAAGCATTCAAAAGCTAGCCTTTTGCCAAATCCAAACAACGATCAAATGGTTTCCACAACAACAAGAGAGATATCAGTGGATCTGTGGTGGACCGGCTACAGCACTACAGCACCTGCTTGGGCTTGGGAACGATGAAGGTATTCCTCATCTCCAAGGTCTCCGGCATGGGCAAACCTCGAGCGGCTTGGAAGGACGGCCCTTCCATGATCGAACCGGTCTGGCACGGGAAGGACCGCCGGACGGCCGGCCTCTGCCTTTCCCAGAACAGCAACACTCATCCTTTTGATGGAGAGGAACCCAAAAAAGAGTAGATCCCAGAGTTTATCTTGAGGTCAACACGCATCTGTGACACCCTCACACCTAGCAAAAAAGAAATACAAACGCCCTGCATTCACCATGCTGACATGTCCTTTTCCGGCTCCTTTTCCATGCCCTGACAGCAACGGTTCTTATCCGAGGCACCATCCAAAGGTCGCCCTTCAGGATCAAGAATCCTCCCCCGCAGCTCCTTGCTGCACTTTGTTTGCAGGAACTTCTTCCTTGCATGGCCGAACCGGATGGCCATGGCCCAAATTGCACTCTATCAAATATAGCATGATGATATATGATTTATGATCTGTATCTATTTACATCTATTTACACACTAATTCACTAATTACACACTCTGTTCTAGGTATGTGTTTCTCCTGATTTCGTTCGTGCCAACCTCTGGGCGTTCGAGCTCCACTCTTCGCACTTCATCGCCGGGCTCCGTGTCACCCGCCAAGAGTTGCAGAATCTGCCCACGGGCGCTGGCGGTTTGGGCGCGGGCGCTGCCGCTGGGGATCCCACAGGTGCTGCCGTGGAGTGCTCGGCTGGGGCAAGGATGTGTATTACATTGGATGACAAGTACTTTCATCAGATCCAGCTCGTGTGTCATGTGTCGCAAGTGTTCTTCACATTGATCATTGTGATCATTCGTATGGCTCCAGGTTTGACATGTGATGTTCAACAAGAAGCATCTTGAAACCCAAAGGCAAAAAACCTGACTCAGCACCAAGAGTGGTACAATTGCACCAAAAAGCTAAGAGCCGCACTGCTATGTCTTCCTTCCATGCTAGCAATACAGCATCAGCACCACCTGACATTCGCAGAGTTCTTTGGACAATCAATTCTACAACTACCTGGCTTTTCGCTGATTCTGCGCATCTCTTCCTGCCGCTTAGTTCGGGCAGAGAACGTTGCCACAAACATTCGGAGGCAGACTGCGTCGGTCGTCACGGCGGACGCGGCGAAGTGGTGCTTCTCACTGAGCTCTGGGCTATCGGTGCAAGCGATCGTGCCAGGAGTATCCTGATCGTTTCATCGCACGTCCAGCATGCTGTGGCTGGTCGTTTCTCCCGTGGCCTCTCCACGTTTTCTCCCAAGGTCAGCACTCCGAGCAGAAAAGACCAACCCTCAGCCACCCCCCGAGAAATATCCTATCCAACTTGGACAAAGGAAAGAAGCTGCTTCGTGGGAACATGCAGCACAAAGTCTGCGCGAGCAGCTTCCACCTTTCCGACGGACCCGCCCAGGCCCCCATCGTTCACAGGCTGAGCCTTGCCTTCGTGAAGAGCTTCTGCCCGGCACGGACCACGACCAGGTCACCGCGGACCTGGCGAAGACATGTCTGAAAATGACCAATGATCTCAAGACTGTTTGATGGAAAGATATGGGAAGTGTGCTTTTGAAGCCTGCGAAACTTCCACCAGTGACCCCCGAGTCCCAGCCCGTTTCTTCGACAGTGACAAAGTAGCTCATGATCTAACAATGGGTTTCTGACCGTGCTTCAGATCGAACTTCCCACCATGGTCCTCCGGAGAAAGTAAAACACTCTTCTTGAAGTCATTGGATACTAGAAAGAGTCTGGAAAGAATCGTTGATTAGATCACTCAGCTGGTGAAGACACGCAGCTGAGATGTGTGAAGACACACAGCTGAAATGACTAACCCTCTCATCTTTCTACTTGGACATTCTAGGCTTTGCAAACTGCAACGCCAGGTAAACTCTCAGCTTGAGCCAGAGAGCCGCTGCTTCGATTCAGCACCTTCATTCAGCACGTGGTGATTACTCTTGGTCACAATGCCTATGTTCCTTTGTCTCACTGTCTCTCACTCACTCACTCACTCACTCACTCACTCACTCCCTCCACAGGGCAGCCATCCACGTCCAAGCCGGTCTAAGCCTCTGTTCCGTCTTGTCTTGTCGTTCTCTCGTTTCTGTTTCAGACCGAGAAGACCTTCTTCAGACCTTCTTCAGACCTTGTTTGACCTTCAGGACCTATCTATTTTAGATTCGGACCTGAGTTTTTCCCCTGGTATCGATCGATGTGTATCTATCTATCTCTCGTATATATTGTATTCGGTGATTTGTCTCTTTCTTTTAAGAGCCGCAAAGCCAAGGAAAGGCTTGACCATGTTTTACCCATTGGACCCCGCCTCCAGGACCATCGCAGGCTCAGAAGGCTCTTTACGCTCGTCCTCTTCCGGCAAGTCCAGGTTCGGGAGCAACTGGAGCCAAAGCCAGAAGTCTTTGCTCGGTCATGCGACCGGAAAAAGGAGATCGCTCCTTTCAGAAACGTGACAAACATATAAATTCATGGCTACAGTCTACAGTACCTGAAACACAGGAGGTTTACCTCAGATTCAAAACCAGAGAGAAAGTAAGCCGCTCCGCCACGAGCGAATGACCCTAGAGTCCCTCCTTTCCGAGCCGCGGTGAAACCGCATTTGAGGACAAGGAAACGCGGTCCATACCTCGGGTCTCCCGACGTCTAAGGCCCCCATCGCTCCGGGTAAGGGATCGTTCTCATCCTCACTGAAGATGGAGATACCTGCAAATCCCATCTCAACACCCAGGGGTCGTTGGCAAGGGGTCGTTGTCGGTCGTCAAGGTCGTACAGCTTCGTGGTAGGAGATTTCCAGGGGGTTGATGATTGGTTTGTTGTGCAGGTAAACCAAAGCATTGCATCCTAAAAATTGATCCTGGAGGCATTCAACAAATCTGAAGTCCGTCCTGGGCGCATCACAATCTCTTTTCGGCACATCACTGGGTGCAGTTATTCTTCAGGCAAAGGCAGCATGGCCGAAACGGTAGGTATATAAAAGCATCTCGGATCATCGCCGCATCTGATTCTACCAATCCGCATCAATCCGCACTTGCGCGGACGTGAGGAGGATACAGCAGGCCATACAACTTACAAACGTGAAACATTAGTTGCAAAGGATTCGATTGAGAAATTATGATCAAATGTCTAGAAGTCCAAACACAATGTTTTGACCCATTCAAGCAAAGGACGTCCCTTTCAGGTCACAATGACCATTCTCTTTATGGTCTTTGAATTATGGGGGTTCCCAGGGTACATCATCATATAATGATAAATATGTCAGGATTCATTCAGAGCATGGCTGTGAAGTCCTGTGGATTCTTCATAGATTTAAGCCAAGTTCAGTCTACCTGATCCCTCTGTCTCAACCCCGATCCTTGCGGTTTGGGCTCAGCCCGGCAAGCGCTTCTCGCCCCCCCTCCTGGCCATCCTGGCGGAAGAACACGACCCAGGGGCCCATCGAACATGTAACATTGCCGATTGGGGTCATCTTCCGGCTCCCATGCTAGTGAAGTACAGAGTATAGAGATGGTGTATGATGATGTCCAACTTGGAGGAACTGAACATCTCTTGGCACCTGCTGAAAAAGATTGAAAAAAAACGAGTGCCATTTCTGCCAAACCCTCCGACCACGTGCCGGTCGCAGCTCCAAGTCTTCGCCTCGCCCCCGAAAGGCCGCTGAAGGCCACGAGGCCCGTGAGGGTCGCGCTGGGCCTCAAAGGAACAGTTCTTGAAGGGTTCCCTCTTTGATCTGGGTCTTTTTCCGCTTCTCGTTTGAAAAATTGGACTCCTGACTGAGGCCGCCTGCCTGAACGGAGCTTCCGGTGCCGGCCGGGCCGAGGCGGCGGAGCCGCGCGCAGGGGCACGCGCGGAGCCGCGCGCGGAGGCCCGCGAGACCGGGGGGCCGCACCTGGGAGGCCCAGTGGACATCCTCAAAATTACTTATTTCCCCAATAGCCATGCTATGGGGTCTTGCAAAACTAATAGGCGGACGGGCGCCGTCGGGTCACCGTCAGAGCTGGTGGGCGGATGGTGTCCCGGTCATGTTTTGATGGCGTCCGGATCATGTGATGCTGGTGTCCCGGTCATGTTTTGATGGTGTCCCGATCATGTTTTGAATGTGACCCAGTCATGTTGTGATGGTGTCCTGGTCCTGTTTTGATGGTGTCCCGGTCATGTTTTGATGGTGTCCCGGTCATGTTGTGATGGTGTCCCGGTCATGTTTTGATGGTGTCCCGGTCGTGTTGTGAC